GAGGGTGGAGAAAACAGTGCAACAATGAATGAATGAAAACCCAAAATCTCTGTAAATGTTCATTAAAACTAATAAAATTTAATAAAAAAAAATGGGAAAAAAAGAATGATTAGGGTTTAATGGTCTAGCAGTTAATTCTAATCATGCTTTAAGAACAAAACAAATTTCTAGAAGTTAACAAGCCAAAAAATTCACACATGGAAAAGAGTTCAAATTGATTAAACAGAAGGCACACTAGGCTCTTATAAAAAAATGAAGGCACTGAAGATATTATAAAATTTACTATAAATTTAAATCTGATTTTTTTCAGATTGAGTAGAGTTTAAATACATCCCTCAATTTCTTAAAGGTGAAGTTAAAAAAATCCATTATTAGTAAAAAATTTTGGTGCAATATTACCAATAATACTTCACCTTACATTTGATTTTTACATATTTCTACTATTCAAAGAAATTATTTGGAACACAAAAAAACCCCACCAAACCAAAAGTAAGGGGTCGGGGGAAGTAATAAAACCTTCTACATATTATCTTTCAAAAGGTCTCATGATCATGATACAATTCAGGAGCTATGGAAGTGCAATGGGCTACATGCTGGGCTGCAAACAAAAAGAGCAGTTCAAGCCAAATAAAATACTAGTCAGCTTAAATCAGAGAATGAGTGTAATGTCTGAATAATCTTAGAGCAAAATATTAAACAAAGAAAAACAAAACAAAACTCCTAAAACCAACACCAGTCAAAAAAAGCTGGCCTACACAGAAAGAAAAATTGTGATAGTCGTGTTTCCCCCCCCCCACCACTACGTGCCATGTTGCTCCACTCACAATACAAACCAAGCACAAGATCTGGGTTGAAGTGTTCATGAGGTATTTTACTCCAACTATTCTTTCTATACAGTCAGTGGAAGAACACAGTCTGTGGTAAGAAGGCCAAAATCTGTCATGTTTTGTAGAGTTCTAGGTGACACACTAAAAATTACTTGCCATTTTGAGTTTTTGAGTTGGGGGTCCCTCTTTCCAAAATGTTGTGGCTGACATGATTCCTACTTCTACTTGACCTTCTCTCTATAATGTTAGGAACAGATTACAAACGACTGTAAAATATGCAGTAAAACAAACAGAAAAAACAACAATAGCAATGGCATGCTAAGAGTTAAAAAAAGAAATCCACGTTATTACTTTAGCACTCTTAATGTTATGTTTCAATTTTTTTAATTAAGAAGCTTATATGCAGCTTTTAAGTTTCAAGACCTCTTAATTCTTATTTTAAATCTTATTCAGATGTTTCAAACTACTTTGTACTATGTAGCAAACTCCATTAGAAGGAGAGGAGTAGGAAAAATTTTTTTTTACTACTTCAGTAATGACATCCATAGTGATGTACATATGATCTAGTTAAAGGACACAAGTAATGCTTAAAACAGCACAAATAATGTGGCATACTGGGAATCTGACCATCTGCACATAGAAAATTAACTCCACCAAAAATGTTATGAGGTATATAGAAAAATTCAAGTAAAATCCAAGACACTGTCTCATCCTTAAGACAACTTTACTTTAATAACTTGTAAATCTGATATACTTTATATAAAACTTGTTTAATAAATTATTAAGTGGCTCTCCTAATAAAAAACTATTCAACTGTGACATAGGCAGGAAACAGAATAGTTAAGAAAATGCTGGTTTTTTAAAAATCTATTTACATTAGAAACATGAATATGGGTACACATCTCAAGTTGGATGGAGGATTTGAGCTATGCTAGGATGTCATTACTGAAGGAGTGGAAAAAAAAAGTTAGGCTATTAACTGGAGTCAGCAATTCAAATCCTCCAACAGTTCCTTCCATAGGACAAAAATGAAGTAATCCACTTCTTTGAACATCTACAACCTCGGAAACAAGATGGAGGCAGTTCCACTCTGGTTGACAGGGTAACCATAAGTCAGAATCAATTCCTTGGAGTGAGTACTGGTATGAGCTTAAGCATTATTAATATTCTTACAGCCCTATGTGACATTAATCATATCTCCAAAAGCATATTCTTTCCAGCAAATTATTCTCCAGAGGTGAACTACTCAGGCAAAGATGATTAATGTCAAATGGCTCTTTTAGCTGATCTCACAACACCTGAACTCACCAAAACAGCAATAGGTAAAAAACTCCTGGATTAAGTGGGCTCATGCAGGTCAGCTATGTGCTATTCAAGGGTCAACTGTATTTAAAAATAAGAAAAAAGATAGAAAAAGGGGGGCTTTCAAAGGGCACTCAGTTCAGAATCAAATATAGCCACTGCAAAAGAAACAGTATACATCAGGTATTATACAAGTTTTATCATTTATAGGATTTTTAAAAATCCCTATACCTTGCCATCACTAACAGCTTCAAACTACTGCTGATCCTGCTTTGTACTTAGTCTTTTTAAACTAAGTTTTGTTATAAAATTCTAGAAGTCCAGGTCTTTTAAGTCCTCTGTGACTCAGGTTCCTCATCTGCTTGATGTAGGCACTAGATAAGATAATCGAGGAATTTATGATACACTATCAATATAAACTAGAAAATAAGGTTAATATCCTTAGAATTCTGGTATATTAAAGAATTTTTTTAAGGGTATAAATAGTTTGTTGGGAGAATAAGAAATATCTGTATGCTGAAGATGAACACAAATGAGTTTGAAATACAGAAGTGGAATTTTTATTGGGAACAGAAAACAAAATTCTGCATGAGACAGGACAGTACTCAGGGAGTATTTGGTAACTTAATCAACCACATTTTATATTTTTCTTTATTTAAGAATGTTTCCTCTTTTAGCTCCTGACTTCAACAGCTGTTTTCAAAATAAAAACTTTTCTTTGGCAGTCTAAAAAGAGCCTTGAAATGCACAAGAGCTAGTGTATGAATTGATACTATGCAAGTGCATTATTTATAATCATGCACTAGAAAATCTTTATTTATTTGTACACTAATTAATTTCCCCTTTTTGAGTCATTTATTTTTAAATACAGAAAACCAAAAAGACACCAATCATATGTTAATGCTTCTGAGGGAGAACACTGTGTTTGAAAGACTATCAAAACAGCAAAAAAATAAATTTATACCTCCAGGATAGCTTTCGTAAGGCAAATTCCTTGAGATCTCAGTTTGAAGAGATTATGGATCCCAAAAAGCTCTCCGCAGTGCTCTTTTGATCCCTGAACTGCTTCAAAGTAACGCTTGGCATTTTCACTTCCAACTACTGCACAGTGAAGTTGCTAAAATAGAAAGAAAAAGAATATTTTTTAAGTGCTCCAAGAATATGTCAGAATTTCCTGGCATTCCCTACATACGCACAGCTTTCCTGGAGCTGGCAGAACCTCCCTTGGGAGAAAATAATGTTTTCATTTCCCTGGCAGATGCTGCCATTATCGTGAAATAACAAAAATCTAGTCAGTCTCAGAAATCCTCTAATTTCTATTTATGTTTTCTAACATTTGACTCTTGAAGACTGCAAGACTGACTTGTAGAAAGATTGCATTTCTACAGAATCTCTACCTAACATGAAATGTTTAATGAAAGCATAAATTTTAATACATTTTTCCCCTTTCTAGGGAGCTCTAGTGGCCGAGTGGTAAGGAGGTATGCTGCCAAACTAAAGGCATGCTATTGAAATCTATCAGCTGCACCACGGAAGAAAGATGGAACAATCACCTCCTATGACTGAAGCATCAGTTATGAGATGGCATGCAACAACGACAGCAACTCCTTACTGGAGCAGACTGCCACATCTTAAAAAAAAAAACCATGTTTTCTGACAATTGATTCAAGATTGGACAGAGTATCTACCTAACATGAAACATTTAATAACAAAGCATACATTTAAATCATAAATACATTTTAATTGTAATACAAATAATACATTTTTTTCCAATCTAGACTTTTACTCCAATGTGCTGCTAGATGCTGTCCATTTAGTTTCATATCTGTGCACAGTTGAACATAACATTGCTCAATCCTTTGTCAACTTCATAATTACAGCAATGTTTGAGCTCACTGTTGTGACCATTGTGTCAATCTATCTTGTTAAGAGTTTGTCAATCCTTCTTTTCCAATGACCCTCTAAACTTTGCCAAGTCCTCTTCACTTTCAGCAATTAAGGCTATGCCATCTGCATATCAAATGCTGTTAATGAATTGTCTTCTGAATTTGATGCTACATTCTACTTTATATAGTACAAGATCTCAATTTACTTGATGAGTGTAGAGATTTAATAAATATGGTGGTAATAGGATATATGTTTCCTGATTTTAAACCATGCAGTATCCTCTTGTTATATTCAAATGACTGCTTCTTATCCTAGGCATGATTTTACATGAGAACATTTCAGTGCCCTGGAATTTACCTTTGTTGCAATGTAACTAATAACTTATCATCACAATTATCAAATTCCTCTGCATAGTCAATAAAATAAAAGTAAATATCTTTCTGAAATTCTCTGCTTTCAGCCAAGATCCATCTTACAGTAGTGTTATCCCTCTGCTTATGTCCTTTTCATAATCCAGTTTTAACTTCTCTGGCAGTTCTTCGTTGATGTATTACTGTAATGATTTCTTAATTGAGCATAATTTTACTTGCCATTATCATCACCATCAATATTACTCACTAAAATAGGAATTAGAGAGCTCTGGCGGCCTAGTGGGTAAGGAGTTGTCTTCATAACCAAGAGGAAAGCAGTTAAAATCAGCTGCTGCAGATAGAGAAGCAATCTCCTCCTTGCGATTAATAGCTGCTAAAAACCTGCTGGAGCTAAGAGTTGGTTGCAACTACAGGGAAATGACTGACAATACGATTTACTAAAACTGGAAGAAATAAACCCCCCAAAATCACTACCTTGCAATAATAATTAACAGCCAAAATCCAACCACTGTTTTTTAAAAAAAAGCATCCCTGGAACAATTTTAAATATAGAACATGGGCATGGAACTAACTCTATTATCAACCTTACATGCCATATTAAAAGCAAATGCAATTTGATTAAGAGAAAATTAAAAGCCTTATTAAAATTAGAAGCCTTATAATGCAATTTATGTACTATCTTGGAAGAAACAGGGAATGCACAGAATAGAAAGTAATTTACTATAGATAGAGGGATTAGAAAAAAACAATACTTACGAGTTCATTTGAACTGTAGTAAGTCACTCTTAAGGACTTGTTGGTAAGATAGCAAACCATTTCAGACCCTCTTCAGCCAAAATACCAGAAAACAAATACAATCCCAAAGGTTTCGATTTAAAAATAAGAATCAAAGAAAAACATGAAATGGAAGACAGACTGAGTATAGCAAAAATGGCAAAATGTAACCTTTTTGAACAGCTGCTTATTTGCCATGGAAACCTGAATCAGCAGAAGAGCTTGTACTGGCAACTAGCTGACAGGAAAAAACCGTGGTGTTCTACCTTGAGGTCTGTGCCTTTCCAGAGGAGGGTAACAAACTCCTGCCACCACCATCTATCAGGTGGCTGGTGACATTCCCTGGCTTATCTCACCCCAGCCTGAAACCAGACCAGCAGCATTTTGGTAGTAGGAAACTTGAAATAGCTTTTTTTTTTCTATAATTATATTTTATTAATTTTCATAAACATTTACAGAGATTTTGGGCTTCCACTCATTCATTGTTGCACTATTCTCTCTACCCTCCTCCCAGTTTGTTCTTGTCCAAATGCCACAGTGCTTGTCAAAGCCAGTTCTGATTAATCTTCTTTGTCAGTGTGTCCTTTGCCATTCCCTATCACTCCTCCCTGAGAGAGACTTCACCCTGAGTCATAAGGAAAAGGGGATGGCGTATTCTCTTAGCTACTTCCTGCTGAAAAGGGACGCTGTGGGTTTCAGGGTGAAGATCTTCTCTCACTACTCTAAAGGGCCCCTTTGGCAGTAGGAAACACATAGACTATTATGGAGATTGATTTTGGAATTTAGATGCACTCTTATTGATTGTGCTTGGCTGTACATGTTCATATCCTTGAAGATGTATCATGGGGGTGTTGCAACCTAGAAGACACAAATTTGACTAACAAGTTATAAGTACATGAGTCCAAAAATTATGGAAAAGTAAAAGAAAAGATTCTTTCATTGTTTTACAAACCCTCCCCCAGGTCCCCTCCACCATGTAGCCCTCGCTCTAGTCTCCTGTGATGACAGAAATAGCTTTAAACTCAATCTCTCATGGAAAGCAAAGGAGTGCCTTGTACCTAGCCCACAGCCATCTCTCAGATTACACAGGCAGGGATTTCAGCTAAACAGTGATTATCATTTTATGCTAGTCATATCGGAAAAGGTATCTGCCAACCTTCACCCCTCAGACTAGTAAAAGGCCAATCCTTAGCCAGGCATATACTACTGCAGGTTTCTGTATTGCAGTGGAAACTGTCCTTAGGTTGAGTGTTCCGTTCCTTGATAAGACACTTTTCAGGCCAAACCCCCTGTCTCTCTGCACAAAACCACAGTATCCATATCTCAAAACAGTCTAAAAAGAAAGATAAGATAGAAGAAGTAAACAAAATACAGAAGAAGAAAGTCTTTCAAAGAAAGAATTGGAGCTTTTTATTGGAACTTTTAGATCAGGGCTTCAAAAAAATGTCATTTAAGTGTCTTCTACTGATTGAGCCTGTTGTTTTTGCTGTATACCACTGAGTCAAAACCAAACCACAGTTGACCCTCCAGCAGGTTTTCAGAAGCTGTAACTTCACAGGAAGAAACTGTCCATCCTTCTCTGATAAAGCTATTGGTGGAGTAGAATCATGTACCTTTGGGTTGGCAGCACAACTCCTTGCCACTAAGCCACCAGAGCTCCCTACAGACAGCCCCGTGTTAAGAAATTGTGTTGTCAACGCTAAGGCATACAGTTTGAATCTGACACCTGTTGTGCAGAATAAAGATGGGAATCATGCTAAGAAGAGTGGACGGACAGCACAGGAGAGGAAAATCCTGGATGAGATGGACTAGCCCAGTAACTGGGGTAATGGGGGTAGGTATGTAGAAGACAGTGCGAGTGGCTCAGGATAGGGCAGAGTTCAAAGCGATTGAATCTAAATGAATGGCTTTGCACCAAGAGCCAACACCTGACAATAAGCCAAAATCAATATCCATGATGACATGATTTAGAAACTGACTTGGACACAAAAATGCACAAAGTACTACAGAACAGGACATTACATAAAAGGATAAATACAAATGGACTGAGGGGGAAAGAACGTAAGAGGCAAATTTACAGAACTTCTAAATGGAGAGGAACACAAGGAGATCTCAAAGTGAATTCTTTTAGATTGCCTTGGGAATAAAGTAGAAATGTATATATAATCCCTCCAAAATTAGTGTATCTTCTCATCAAAATAAAAATAGGACCATAAAGATTTACTGTTGTTGTTGCTGTGATACAGACTATCTATCCTTCTTTGCTGGAGCAGCTGGTTGAATTCTAATCATGTGCCTTTACAGCTACAGCACAGTTTCTTACCACTAGAACACAAGAGCTCTCTAAGACATTTTAAGTACCAAAATAACAGAAAAAAAATAGTAAGAAAAGCCACCGCAAAAAAGAACTCAGTATACAACAGTAAGTGGAACAAAGATTTCAGCAACACTATAAACAAGAGTGCAGTACAATGTCAGAGAGAAAACCAAACCTACTGAGAAGTACAATGATTGTGGATAGACTTGATGCATCACTCAAAAAAAGTTGAAAATAAAATTCTAGGAGAAAACATTACCCTTCAATATGCTGTCTACACAATGGACACAACAAAGATAGAGTAAAACTCAAAGGGTATATATCAATAAAAAATATATCAACAGCAATTTTAAAAAGGTAGGAATAGCAATATTAATTTTTAATAAAATGGACTTCAAGAAAAAAATCAGTATAAGACACAATAAGGACATTACATAATGACTAAAGGGGTAACTAAACATGAGGACATAACGATTATAAAGCTCTATGTACCCAATAGCAGAGACACAAGATACAAAGCAAACTGTAACAGATTTTAAAACAGAAATAGGGAACTCCAAAATTAGTAGGTGTTAAGTTCCACTAACCAAAGACAACTCCTAGCAACCCGATGAACAACATATCTGAACGATGTCCTATCCTGTGCCATCCTCAGAATCTCTGATACACTCGAGTCCAATGCTGCAGTCACTGTGTCCACCTGGTTGAGGGTTATCCTCTTCTTCTCCCTCCACCCTTCCAAGCATCATGTCCCTCTCTAATATACCA